TATATCCTCAAGTAACAGATACAGTGGTAGCCCGATGTTTGCAGGTTCTGTGAACACTTAGACGTGTTGACTTTTCAACATTTCAGCTGGCTTCTTTGTTGTAACAGCCACAGGTCCGGTTACTCTTAGCAATGTAACGCCAGACGGCTTTTCTGGAGTCAGTTATCTGTTTGTACAGCTACTTGGATTGAATATAAACGTGCTCATCCGCATTTCAACTTGTCTTCCCGCACCAGCTTGGTGCAGTAGTTTCACGGTAAACAGTACGTATTCGTATCCACACCGTAATCACGCTTTTAAAACTAAATGCTCATATATCTTTGCGTGATACAATCCATTGATCCTCGACATTGATTTACGCCGACGTATATAATACTTGTTCTATACCTGCTCAGTGGATCACGACAGTTCTGCTTGATTGGTACAATAAGTTTGTCGCATGTTACTTCCCGATCTAACATAACTGACCAACCCATTCAATTTTCGCGCCCACCCCTGAGAAAATCAAATTCATCAGCTATTCCGTATTTCGACCTGTTGCACACTGAAAGCAAATAATATCGCCGTCATTTGTACAGAGAGACGGAGAGTCTGGCTTCGCTATCACACCAAGCCATAGAGTATGGTTCACTCAGCGATTTGGGTAAAAGGAGAACACAACAAAAATAAGCCGCTATGTGCTATATGTGAAATTCCGGTCTGTGTATAATTGTTGATGTGTTTAAATCAGCGAAGTCCAAGTTCCGATTCTCGTGAGAAGAGAAAAAATGTAACACGCTAAAATTCTATTCTTTTGGTGGATACGTATCAAATTGAGTCGTCCCGGATCACCTGGATCTATAATTATTTGTAGCTTTATCCGGTGAAATTGTTATCAAACGTAAACAAGTTTGCCACAAATACTTCATTTTTGTCGCATTTCCATCGGATTCTGAGACTTTCGGTCCTGGAGTGCAGTCTACGCAGGCTCTACGCTCAGCAAATTCTCCTATTTTGCATACATAGTATTTTGAAAAGCGGACGAAATAATTCTCCGGGTCACAAGTTCTATGACCAAGAGAGTTATTGAAACTCGAACCGGTTTGTCAGGCGCTAAAGAAGCTGCTTGACTGGTAGTAATTGGGCTCGGGTACAGTATCATACCGACCGTATGGCATTGAGGATTATGATTTTAACCCTCAGATCAAGGATGCCCAGTTCCCGGTTTCTATTAGTAATCCTCTAATTAGATACATTGAATATTTTAGTTTCCCGTACCTGTCAGCGAACTGATCTCAAGAAAAAAAACAGTCACTCAGCTTGACTGAATACATGGTTCCAATATTTTTTCTATCGTCCCCAAGCAACCGCAAAATAACCTCTTGACATTTTGCTCAATACAAATATTGATGGAAATTGTATTTAAAATATTTGGTTAAAGTCCTCCTATATTTTTAACCAGATGGCTTTTGGGATCTCGGAGTGGACAAATTCACGAGGTTCATCTGAACGTGGCAGGTGAGTCTTTTCAAACACGTGTGGGTTCTCAATCATTCTTCCACCCCTCAGCTTCTGATAACACTAGCAAGGTACAAAACTGTCATATTTTATTTGCTAATAGTTCAGTTTAACTTGACCTAAAGGCGCATGAATTAATTTAATGACAATTATTGTTCAAGTATTACGTCCAGTTGAATGTGCATGCATACAGACAAAATAAAGTTGGTCCACTTTCAACCCAAATTCCATAGATTTTCGGTATCAGGAAGTGTACTACAACTGTGTTTATACTCCCAGATGGGGGATTTTCTTCCTTGAGTACTTATCCAAATTGCATCGAGGTTTGACTTTTTCGTTATCCGTCATTCAATTTACGAGAATCTGAATAAAATCGGATTGAACGATTGTTGAACCTGAATCCATGGCTGATTGTACTTTTAAGTGATGAGCTACGGAAATTTCCTCCAGTGGAGGTCGTACTATATGACCACCGCAACATCCGGCTGATCCCGAAGGATCGAATGTATACTGTTTTTGTTCGACCGATGCAATCCCTACTTGGTAAAGATAAGGTGTTCGAACAATGCGGTATACGTTATACTGCACGAGTTTGGTCGATAAATTGGATATAAAACGGCTGAAGTTAGACTTAAAGTGAATGGTGGTCGCGATGGCACAACTTTCCAATTCTTGCGCTCCGTAGATTGTAGTGGTTGGGGCGTGTGTAATGAATGCATATTATCTGATAGGCTTCTTAGGCGAGCGATTTTTACCGACGCGAGTGGGAGGTGGAAAACGACCGAAAATGTTAAGAATACAACCTGGCATTGTCGTGATTACACAGCCGTATAAAATAAGGGGCCAAGGTCACCTTAAGTCTGCTGGACGATAGGTAGTAAATTAAGCTGGTGAGGTCAGGATTAAAATAGACGAGCTACGGACAGATGGGTTACAGCACTCAGCCATCATTATCCCTCTCAATGGTAACTCCCCATAGATTTACTCACTTCCCTTGCACAAATATAGTGCTTACCGTGGCTTGCTAGACTTGTTATTATTTTTTTCGCGTAGCATTTAGACGCGCCCCTGAAATCGGAGACTTTTTATCCGATCAAAACTTTGTGTATTGTGATTGCAAAGGGCCAGGGGGAACCCAGCTGAACCACCAATAAAGGACTCCAGCGATGCGTTACTATAACCGTAACCGAGATTCTATCCAATGCACAGTTAGAGAATCTCATCATTGTGTGAGATATGCTTGGCGTTGATATTGGTGAATGCGAAACTGCCCACTGCCGTCCAAATCGCCCTGAAGCTTCTTTTGCTCCATGTTTTTCAGAACCGTCAGAGGACGGTTCCTGTTTTGTTACTTACAATTCACATGTAAGATACGGCGGGATAAGGGAATCTGTAATCTGCGATGTACATTAAGGTTTGATCTTATGGAGTTTCCCGAATGTCAATTCAAACTAAGCTCGACCTAGATAAAATCACCTATATAGTGCAGAATAATGTGCTAGATCGATTTCACCCACGTATCTGCCAATAAAAAATTACTCAAGTGTATCACAACAAATTCAGACCCTAAGTGAATTCTATTCTCTCAATCATTCGTGAGTCCCCTTCCCGCAATTGCCATTAATGGTTGAAATTCAGGGACTGATTTTTCCATCTTCACTCTTCCCTAACAGAAATCCGTCCTACCAGAACATGTAACACCATCTCTGAAGAAACGGAAAAGAATGAGGCGCTCCATGCTCTGTATGAGGACGGTGAGTTATATGCTTGTTGGCTTGTATTCACTGAAGTGACATAGTATGGTATTTCCTATTTACTTTATTCACATCCTTTCTAATAAAGTTGTGTGCAAATCTTTCACTTCTGATGCATGCTTGTGCTGCGTCCTCACCTTTATTGTATATGCGCGACGATAAAGTTATTTCTATGGTCGAGTGCTGAAGAGCCACTCCCACCTTGTGCCTGTTGTTCCTTGGTCAACTTTCACAGCTCTGGCATCATATTATAGATTTACATTAGTACAACCACAACGTACATTTAGATGAGCTTTCAAATGCTTTTCTCTGGAAAATGAATGATTTTAATGTACATTTACTTGTGTCATTGGGCGCTGTTTGTAAGTCATTTACCTTTTGTCGCTGCTTATCGGTTTGTTGCAATAATTTCCAGAATATAATGAGTAGCATATGAATGACTGGACAAAGTTACCCAGAAGCACTCAATCGGTTTTGTGGTCTTTGTGCCTCGTCATGTATGTTTATCCTGTAATCTTATCAACGGGAGTTCAAGTACAGTACTGGCCGATTGTGACACCGAAGAGACTCAGAAAAGTTTTGAAGAACAAAAACAGACTAATCAACCACTAGTGTACACAAACTTTACATCTCGCTTATTATCAATGTTAATTTGTTGTTAATAAAAACTGTTCCATTCTCTTTAGTTAGCTCTTAACTCATCATGGTCTAGGTCAACCACTACTGACGAAATGGGAGTATCCGCCACATTTTGAACCATTCCATCTGATGAGTATAAACGATTCAGGAAAATCACGGATAAAAAGACTCCCCAAGACTTGTTTATTATTAGTTTTGAAAAACATTTTCTTCAGTATAAATGCTGTTGCCCATACGAACCGACAAGTGTTTCAAAGGGACCTGTTGCTTCAGTTTCGATTAGACCTGTATAGGAATGGCCTGACAAAGGCTTTTTGGGTACTAATACCTGACGGGTGGTGAAGACAGCGAAACTGGTAGTGTGCTTTTGACAAATTTTGTCCAGTCGTTCATTGGCTACTTAGTATAAAACACTGAGAGTCTTCCCTGGCGTAAATTTGGTTGAGGATAGACACATCTAACTTACAACACATAATACAGTATCATGGCTGTTTTTTAGTTTTTTATCTCCAATCCACTCCGCGAGCTGAAAATGAGATTTACGTCTCCAGAATTTCACATTATCCATGCGAATGACGCTCAATCAAACACCTCACCCCCCTCCCCTTAGGATTCACGACGCAAAGTAACAAATTTCGATTTCAATGTTCAATGTTCAATGTTCTTCAATTAGAGGCAGAGGGTAATTTCCCATATGAGCCTCATCACCACAGACTCGAAGATCTCATTCATGATAGATCTGCATACCACATTGTTCGCAGGACGCTGTCGAGCTTCCTCTTGAACATCTTATCATTCACCTCTTCCACCACGTTAGCTGGAAGGGAGTTCCAAAGCATTTTGCTTTGTGTCAAGGTTGCTTCGTTCTTTCGTTTATACAATTCAGTCAGAGCTAGCTGAAAAATAATTATAGCTAATACATATTTTTACCCTTCATAGAATATCATTCATTAAGGTTCACCAGAACACTATTAAGGGCGTAACCCATTTCATTATTTCGTTACCATCTTAGCAATAGATTCAAATGAGAGTAACGGTTCACATCAAGTGATGGTCTTCATCCGCTTAAAAAGGATCATTGTCATTGTCTCTACTGTTGCTCAACAAATGCCATTCCGAAGATGAAGGGCGTTAATCTCTCCCTCTCTCTCAACTATCATAGTACTTTCACTCTGACCGACAATGAGACCCACAGACGTATCTGTTTAGACTCAATGTATCAACCGGTCAACAGATAGGTCATACAATCCGACATTCAGTCAATCTGAAAATTTCCCTACTATTCCCTTTCCGTATGACATTGTGCATCTCAGCGGGGAATAATGTGATGGCTCCTTAGTCATGCGGGTGCACATTAATATTTGATCAAAACCCCGGCCAGGGCTGTGCCAAGATAAGTATTAAATGTAGTCCACCAAGCCACCAAGCCAACTCTGTGTTTGGTTAATAAGCCTAATCTAACCCGATCAACAGTATTTGGCCTTGCACCGACAGTGATTTCTGACTGCTGTATTTTGACATCGTATTCGATTGAGGGATAAAATTCAGATTGGAAAAAGGTTGGGGTGATAATTTTGGCGATGCAGGAAACTCGAGCTTTATGAAAATATATACAAACATAAATACGTAAATACATACCTTACTCAAAATTGTGTCGCACTGTACTGCAACGCTCCTCATGAGGAGTTCACAACAGTGCATATTCACCGCAGCCAGATGTAAATTTCCTTATGAGTTGTCACAGAGTCTATCCCTGCTTGATAGTGTCTACTACTCCTAATAACAGTGACGTTTGAGCTTCATGTCATTCAGTGTTGACTTTTTGCCAGCTGCAGAGGATGAACTACGTAGTTAGAGCGTTTGATTAATAGTCCATCGTGATCGGGTTTAAAACCCAGTGAATTCAACTAGCTAAGAACCTTTGATGATTCCTACCGAGTCAAGTGAAACGATTGCAGAGGAACAAGTTGAAAAAAATATTCCAAACATAGGGTAGTTTGAAATACTGTTGTCGGGGAATACAACCTGTTAATCCGAAAATTGGTTCAAGTTACTACTTGGTTGTTCCAGGGGATTTGGATATTACAGTTGTTCTAGTTACAGTTTAGATGAACCCGTTGTAGACATAGGGAAGGAGTAAGCTTTAGGTGTATCCTTCAATGACCTTGCTTGAATAACATTATCTTAGTTTACTCACGGTAAAATTTACAAGATTTAAGTGTCAAAATGGGTGATAAATAAGATAAACGCGAAACCACCCGACATGTATTTTACAACAGTGAACTTTAGTGAATGTTTGGATTAGCCCATTCGGTTTTTCTCAGGCACCAGGCACTGTTGATGATGTGATGGATTGAAACCCACAATCAACATCATCAACAGTGCTTGGTGCTTGTGAAAAACCGAATGGGCTAATCCAAACATTCACCATCTAAATTGATTGAGCCATTCGCACAAGTTGGTAACCGTCAACCGTGTAGCTCAAGGGTAAGGGTTTGAAGTCCCAACCCGAATAACCGCGATTCAAGTCCTGACAGGGACACAGAAAGTACGCACTGCTGACGAGTCCCAAACAGGACGAAACAGCTGTCCAGTGCTCTTTGTTATTTATCACAAACATTTCTATCGCATTTACTCAGTGAACTTTATCTGAACTGACCACAGACAAGCATCGAAGTATTCAGTTGTCACATGAGGTGATCAGAAATTTAATCTATCTCTTACGTCACTCACCGTACAGTGCCTCCGAAGCCTGGCAGTGGTTAGCGATGCTAATTCTAGGTGCTGAATGAGGTTACTTAAACAATACTGACCTCCCAAATCATTTTTCAAAATCATAAAAGAAAAATGGCTAAATTAATTCAAGTGGATTTAATTTTGTAATTGTTCAAGGCAACCTTGGAATTCAGGCTATAGTCTTTTTATTCTGTATTCAAGTGGATCCTCTGAAACACAAAACCAAAAAGTTTTGATCTGTTTACAAGGACCAGACTGTCAAGGATTGACTCACAGCTTGACTCCACCATAAGTCTGACCGTTATCCTAGGTATCTGATTAAAATTAAGTACAGCATGCACCCCGATCTTGGAAACCCATAAAATTTATGTGAAGAAACCGATTTTGACAAATAATATAGCACACTTCATTATATAATATTGTTGAAGTGTGCAACTACAGACTTGTACAACTGTACAATTGTGGCAGTATTCATCTACACCTAGAGAACACTTACGCTGATCGCAGAGGTTGAGTGACTGCAATGAACAAACAATCCTAAAATAACTTAAAGAGGTGTCGAGAGGAACTAGAAGTGGACTAATAACCGATACCTATGGTTTCTTCTTACCTTTTCACGACAACCTCTTACCAGAGGACGAGCAGGCCCCTTAGTCATCTCAGATGGCTTTTCGGGTGCGGAGATTGTTGGCAAGGTTAGCGCGAATGTTTTTCCTTCCAAACTCGGTTCCAATGGTAGTACCTCGAAGGTCGATTGTGGGCCCCTCTTTGACTTCAGCATACTTTGTGCTGTTTTGGGAATACATATACTCATTGGTACCTTGCTGGGGAAGATATTGCGAACCTATATAACCATTTAGGTGATCGGTTACGCTATTGCACATCTGGGATTTAATGTGCAACTAACAGGTAGAACAAGCGCTCACTTAAACAGAGCTGACCTAACATCAGGACGCACAGATCCATAATCACTGCGCAAAAGTGGGTCACGAGGTCAAGATGGATAACAGTGGTTACCCAAATTAAGAAAAAGGGATGAAGCGCTCGAGCGTCCAAAGCTTCCATTTGACCAACCGACAAGTAAAAATCGACGGGCACCGTATCGCCTTGGCAAGACCGCTGTCAAACGATCGAGAAACGGATATAAGGAAAACACAAGAATGTGCAGAACTATTCATCTCGCTCACAAACTCAATCATTCAAGTCAGACATGCCTGCGCTATATATATATATATCTATATACATATATATATATATATACATATATATATATAATGGTGAGGTTACGAACGATCATTTCTAGGTCTGAATTGCAGCTCCCTTGACGTTTAAAATCTACAAGGTATTCCTAAGACGAATGAATTTTCTAAACTTTATCTTCGGAACCTTTCGCTTGCGAATGACAAAATAAGCATCCCGTAAAGATTACCAACTCGTCCCAAATAGATTTTTCCCATATATTTCAGTCGTCTCATATATACCACTTTTGAGTCTTAACCGATTTGGTCGGTACAGAGAGCTCCCATCATTATTGGTCCGTCTCGAATTTAAAAGTTTTTTTCTAACCTCTATCCTTCCACTTCCTTGCTCTCGTCTAGCTCACGCCCTCGTTGCGGCAATCATTGAGAAAGCTCAGACCAATTTGATGACCTTCGAGCAATGGAGTGAGTGAATGAGCACCTGTTGATATACTAAAAATCTAATTCCTAATGCATAATGAGACAATTTAATTTATATTATTTTTTCTTCTCTGCTGATAGGAAGCTGAAAAATCATTGGGAAAAACATATTCAAGGAAATACAGAAGGATGACTAAAAATTAAACAGCATGTGAAATGCAATCGTGCTCCGTGTTCCCGCTTGAACCCAACTTACAGACAGTATTCGATAAAACTATTTTTTCTACCTGAGTCCATCATGACCTGTGTGCATGCCGATTTATTATTCTGTTCTGCCGCATACACGCTGGAGCGTCTACACACACAGACCATTCACGGGTAGTTTATCCAGTTCTTAAGCGCACAGACAAAATATATTTTGGCACTCATCACTGGACTCACCATGTTCTTCTGTCCCCTCAAATGCAACTTGACATTGAATGATCACTTGAATCAGAAACAGGCATTGAAAATATTCCCGTAGAATCTCCCCTGCCGTTCCCATTCCGGACACCCCTTTCCGATTACATACACGTACACAATTTTTCAGTGAAGATTTTTCTTATTTGTACGGTTGATGCACTTCGATTTTGCACAAAAGTCCTGAAGCTTTGGCGTTTCCTAGCAACGACCTTGGCACCGCCCATTATCAGCAAGAAGAGATTCCGTACTGTTGCGTATTGCAAGTCAGTATTTTCCGAATAAAACAACAAAACACATAATTTTCGCCACTTGGACTTCAATGTTCTCTTGCGGCTCGCTCCAACCGCTTCAAACCCCTCCCCCCCCACACACACACACCATTCTCGTTTCCTGACCTGTACGATGACTAAGAATAAATTTGCAAATGTATGTAATTCGCATGAGGGAACGCAAGATACGCTAACAATATGAGTAAAGAATACACGGTATGATTATTAGGTAATGCTTTTCCGAAGATTATATTTTGATTACCATCACCTTTTAGCAGAATTCATCACGCGTAGATAGCTAAAACAACTGTAGCAAATCCCCTTGGCAATTAGACCAGAGGGTAAAACGATTTCACCACGAGAAACTAAATTTTGGTGAAACTCAGCTCGTTGGTACACTCTAGGAGTACACAGATAACAGCAAAATTTGATGTACGCAGCAGACAGTCTAAATTGGGTGAAATTCAAGCTATCACGCTAACATGCTATATAGTTTGATGAAAAGCCACGTGCATGAAATATCACTATAAAGAGAGAACTATTATCTGTTGACCAGTTTGTGAGAGGGAGAAGAGAGTATTACACAGAGATCTTGTCCTTGCGGAGACACACTGAACACAGGATTCTGTGGATAAATATTCAGGTGGCTCTCGTCCCTTGAGTATTTTTGAGTTATATTTTAATTAACTAAATATCAACCATTTCAGACATCATAACATAGCATTATGTGGTACGAAGCACCAAACATCATCGGTGACAATAGGATGACTGTGCGACCACATGTTACTCTTGAAGGAAATCGGACAAACTTTATACTCCCTGAGGTACGGATTGGTGAAACGGAAATGCCTGATTTTCTCAAAGCTCAGATCAGTTCATTGTCATATTTGAATCACCAACGGGGATTGATGGGATAAAACAGGATTACACTTCATACGGCAGGAAAACTAGAAGAATCAATATAAACGCGCTTCGAGTCTTTAGATAATGTGAATTCCGTTTTCGTTTCGGGTCTGGCACTGGGAATGAAATTTTACTGTCACATTTCCTAAAATCTTGGAATTTCCTCAACTATTTTAGTATAGTTGAGATCCATTCATCGCATTAAAGCCAACAGTTAAGAACCCAAACCTGTGGAAACAAATGTGAACAATGAATTCTTTCCCTGATATTGGTATTACCCATAAACTATGAATCACGTTATCGCTGGTAGGGTAACTGCAATTTTGGCAGATTTTCCAAACATTTAATTACTATCTAACCCCAATACTTTTGCTCACCGAGGCAGCAAATAGTTGACATGCTACAATAGTTACATTTGCATCCATGCCTCTCTTTATACACGTTAGGATCGAATTCCAACCGCTACGGTATGCATAGCATTTTTAGGGCCGTAACCCAACACAGGAAATCAGAAAACACAAGAGGGCGTGCTGATCGGAATCGGGTTAACGATTGAATGAATGATTGTGAGAGTACATCGATCGATTGAACGATGATCTAAAACTACTTCAAGCTGATTGACGGAAAAAACGGATTAGAAGGGTATTAGTCAGTGTCTGTCATGAACAGCTTTGACACGTGATTGGACTAGCAACGGGAACCAATAGATGAATACGTACATAGCAATAGGGAATTCAAGATCATAACACCTCTAACTGGAAGGACTTCGTTGAGTCTCATTCATTGTTTCCTCAGATTTGGTAAAATTTATTTCTGTTCCATAACGCATTTTCATTTAAATTCTGTGATAAAATTATTATTAACTATCACTTCGAAGACAACTAAACGCTCCAAAAGCCTTTTTAGGACGAGAATAGGGTACAAACGATGACAAGTCAAATTACTTCAATGGCAGATGAGATATCAAACTTATGACGAATCATTATATGATGCCTAGTTATAGATGTAACTGGCCTACAGGAATCTATGCGCATCAGGAATACAACTGTCAGCGGAAAAACAGGGTATGTGGGACTCCGCTGATACCGAATGAAACATTCCGGTAACTATGATAAGATTTTTTCGATGGCATATTCTTACTACTTATAAATTGACAGTAAGAACATACCTAACTGGTAAAGAAAGCAATTTGTGTTTAATCGATTGCCAGTTGGTCGGGTTCGATATCACGCTTATGAAACGAGCAAAGGTAAAACCCAAACAAAACATGGTCATTTGGTAAATATCGGGCTATTTATTGTACAAACATCCCGGGTAAAATCGAATAAAAAAGATGAAGTGTTCTCTGGTTTGTGGGGGACAGAACATAAGCTCCGTTTTCGGTCATACCTAGGCCATAATTCCCATCTGACTGTGGTTCGGATTAAGCGGAGTAAATAATGCTCAGTTTATATATATATATATATATATCAGACCCAGAACCATAAGCGCATTTTTACACCGTGTTCAAAGAAGCACGGTGCCAATAAACTCCATTAAACACTACAAAAGCAATTGGAAACTGGTTTTTGATCCGAACACGGCATCAATTACGACGATAGATTGGGGATAGACATATACCTCCCAAGTATTCTGTTCATCAATAAACAGTTTCACAGCACATTCCTTTCGATGAAATCGAGAGCTACATGGATGTCTAATTGATTTTTGGAAGGTACAACGGTACTTTATCAAATTTCGGAGGTACAAGGTTTTCTCGATTTACCCGAGACAGGAGTAAATCCCAGCCTATCCTGTTCACATATTGCAGAGCCTGTCAAGAGTGACGGACGAAAACGGTTTTGATGCTACTACGATTAGACTTAGATCGCTGTGGTTGGTGCAATTACTGCGCAAGCCCGATCTTACCGGTGATGACAACATTCGATTCTATCCGTTCTCTTCTGACGAAAAGCCGAGGTCAAAATATCTGAAGTGCTTCGGTATAATGGATAATCACAGAAGTTCCTTTCATGATGTTTATCCATTGAAGCGCAAGGAAAGAATATAAATCGGATTCATGAAAGAGGACTCTGATGGGAGACCGAAAGAAAGAACGATGAAAAGAATGTTGATTGATTTGAACTGAATATCCTTCAGACTTCACCTTCACGCACATTCCTCAGTCAACCGTACACTCAGAAGCACTAGACTCGAGTTTTGTTCTTATTGGAGCTTGGTAGAGTTCAAATCCAGGACGGGACTGATGAGCTCTAATAATAGCGAAAGTCAAGTCTAGCGGTTGAGAGTGTATGGTTGACTGGAAGAACTGAGGAATGTGCGTGAAGGTGAATTCTGAAGGATAGTCAGTTCCAATCAATCAATATCAAGTATTTCACACCACTACTCACGAGTGCCTGTGAATTAAATGCAAAAAGGAATATTGTCGCATATTCACGGAGTCCCAGGCGATGTAGTTACGTTATTAGGTCTATCACGAACTTTACCTCCTCACAGGAAAACGGCGACAGTAAAATAATCCTATCAAGTCCAAAACGCCAACTGCCAAAAAATTCTGCAAATGTGATAGTAAGAAGACTGCAAGAATTACCATATCGGACCAAAGGATTAGAATATACTTATATTGTATTTTCACACGTCTAGGGTTTAGACTGTGCCAAACAAATCACGGTACAATAATCTTCATGAAAAGAAAAGGGTCCATGGTCTGCTCGAGGGCATGATACTGTTAGGTTGTCCAGGCCAAAGTAGAGACCGGACAAACTTATTGTAGCAAGGTGAGCTGGCTGGAAAAAACGTCTATTGATCCAATTCAAAAGCAAACGGTGTATACGTTTGATTATATACAATCAATTCTCACTCGCGCGGCGGGATGATTCAGGCCTCTTTCTGTGGGTAATTCCTTGTTGGTTTTGGTCCGAACTTGGCACGTACGTTGCCTCTTCTTCCGCGTGCCATTCCGACTGGTTTGATCCGATCGCGGCGCGAGATGCGTTGATCGACAGCTCCGACGTTGCGGCATTCGGTGGGTATCTTTCCCGTTAGCTGCGGATTGTCTGTCT